GGCTGATGTCTCTGCCTTACTCTGAGAGCATTAGAGGGAAGGAGGCCAAGTCCTACTTTGGCTAAGATATAGCAGCACCTGTCTTAGTTAAGGTATCTGTTGCTGTGATAAACACCATGACCAAAAGCGACTCAGGAAGGAGAGGGCTTATTTAAGCTTAACGACTCTCAGGTCTCCCTCGATATCTCAGTGGAAACTTGAGGCAGGAACCTGGAGGCAGGAACCGAAGGAGAGGCACTACTTGCTGCTCTGCTCCTCACGGCTTGCCCATCCAGCTGTCACTGATAACCCAGGACACCTGCGCAAAAGACAGCACCACCCACAGTGGGCTGGCCACTCCCACATAAATTATTAACCAAGAAATGTCTTGCCTACAGTCAGCCTGATGAAGGCATTTCTCTTTCGGCCTTTTGAGACAGGGTTTCTGTATAACAGTTCTGGCCACCCTGTAACTCACTCTGTAGACCAGGCTTGCCTCAAACTCAGAGAACCACCTGCCTCTGCCTCCAGAGTGCAGGGATTAAAGGTGTACCCACCACTACCCAGCTCTAAGGCATTTCCTTAGTTGAGGTTACTCTTCTTAGCAATCTAAGTTTGTATTAAATTGACCCCTGTAAACCTGACGAACATATCACAGTCCAACTGTGATCTTTCTTTTCTCATTTGTTCATCATGCTGACCTTAGTATCACAATATAAAACATAACTTTAAAAATCTCGTACTCTTTAAAAAAAAAAAACTCAAACACCTTTAAAAGTTTGATCTTGGGGTCTGGAGAGATGGCTGGCGGTTAACAGCACTGCCTGCTCATCTAGAGGTCCTGAGTTCAATTCCCAGCAACCACAAGGGGGCTCACAACCAGATCTGTAATGAGATCTGGCGCCCTCTTCTGGCCTACAGGCATACATGCAGACAGAATACTGTATACATAATAAATAAATTAAAAAAAAAAGTTTGGTCCCTCTCTTTAAGTGCCTATAAAACTAGAATAAGTGGGCTGGGGAGATGGCTCAGAGGTTAAGAGCATTGCCTGCTTTTACAAACGTCCTGAGTTCAATTCCCAGCAACCACATGGTGGCGCACAACCATCTGTAATGGGGTCTGGTGCCCTCTTCTGGCCTGCAGGCATTACACAGACAGTATAATGTATATATAATAAATAAATATTAAAAAAACTAGAATAAGTTACATACTTCCTTACTCCAAGAGGGGGTGGGAATCAAGAGCACAGTTACATTCAAATAAAAGCAAAACCAAGATCCAACAGTGTGAAAGCTCAGCTTCATACGCCCGGGACTCACAATTTTCTATGTTCCAAAGCTCTAACCCTTGACTCTGCCATCCACAGTATACATTGCCTCCTGGGCTCAGGCCTGCTCCACATCACAACTACTGCTGTCCTTGGTAGTTGCCCCTTGTGCTGGCATCTCCAAACACTACAGCCTCTTGCTGCAACTGGGCTGTGCCTTCACCAACAGCCTCTTCTGGGTTCTCTTCAGGGGCTCTGTCTGACCTATCACATGGCGCAAGCCTCTATGAACTCTTCAATCCTGAGACTTCTGCTGCAACCAAGCCTGTACCTTCACCAATGGCCTCTCATGGTACCAAGCCTCGGCTGCTCTCCACAACCCTTTCAGGCCTTAAATTTCAATGCCACCTGATAGATACATCACCAAGTTCAGATGTCAGTACAGGGTATAGCCTTACCCTGTCCAGACCACAGCTTGTATGCTGACCCAGAGGAAATACTTCCTTTTACTAGTTCAGTTAGTTAATCCATCTCTTTGTCAGCCCTAGCTGCTCAGAACCACAGCTTCTCAATTCAAAATATCAGATGCACCAAAAAGACTTTAAGGATTTTCTCTTTTAAAATTTTATTTATGCATTATGAATACAGTGTTCTGCCTGCAGGCCAGAAGAGGGCACCAGATCTCTTCTGGATGGTTGTGAGCCACCATGTGGTTGTCAGGATTGAACTCAGGACCTTTGGAAGAACAGCCAGTGCTCTTAACCACCGAGCCATCTCTCCAGCCTGGCTTTAAGGGATTCTACTTCCCTCTGAAAGGTCACAGGCCAGGCCTCCATTGTTGGCACTGCTCTCAGCATAATCTTCTATGCTTGTGGAACAATCTTTGTAGACTGTAAATATATACTGCTCTCATTGTTAATAAAAAGCTGACTGGCTAGCCAGGCAATGGTGGCACACGCATTTAATCCCAGCACTTGGGAGTCAGAGGCAGGTGGATCTCTGTGAGTTCGAGGTCAACCAGCTGCAGAGGGAGCAGATGAATGGGCCATGCTAATAAAGTACCGCCACATGCAAAGCATCATAGAAATACGGGCTAATTTAAGCGTAAGAGTTAGCTGGTCACAAGCCTGAGTCATTGGCCGAGCATTTATACTGGGGAATGTTATTTTTAGGTGTCTTACTTTTGGTTATGTTGCATTTAACTCTGAAGCTGTTACCGTGTCTGTCTGAAACACCTGATGGTAGAGTTAACGGCTAATGGTGAGGCAGGAGAAAGGAGTATGTGGAGCCGGCAAGCAGAGAGGATAAATATGCGGAGAAACCTGGGGGAAAGGGATCTGGGAATGAGAAAGGAGGACTTCAGGGGCCAGCCACCCAGCCAGACATGGAGTAAGAATGAAAGAAAAGTTTATACAAGAATAGAAAAAGACAAAAGCCCCGAGGCCAAAGACAGATGAGAGCATTCAAGGTAAGAAAAGTTGGCAAGAAACAAGCCAAGCTAAGGCTGGGCAATCATAACTAAGAGTAAGCTTCCATATGTGACTTATTTGGGAGCTGGGTGGGCAGGGAGCAAAAGTAACAGCATTTGTAATTCATGTTCAGCCACTGAGTCCATTATTTGGGAAGCAGCCTCCAGGTATTTGGGAGCAGGTGGGCGGGAAAGAACCATCCGCCTACAGTTCCCACGACAGCTCGTTAAGCTCTGAGCGTTCAATGGCTTTTCCAGCCCAAAGCTGCAAAATTCTTCCGACAATCCTCCTAAAGACAACATGGCCAGCTCAGTCAAAGCAGTATCCCACTCCTGACACCAACTTCTGAGTGTGGGGTTTCTATTGCTGTGATAAAATACTATTGCCAAGAAAAAGCCCTGATGGGGGAAAAAAGGTGATTTCACCTTACAGCTCTTTGTTCACACTCCATCACTGAGGGAACCCAAGACAAGAACGCAGAGGGAAGACTGAAGAGGCAATATGTAGGATGTTAAGGCCTACCAGGCCAAAAGGAGCCAACCTGGTGCTGTCAGAGGTGCTGACCCAGCCCAGTCAAGTTAAGGAACAACCAAGCTGTGTTTCCTGAGTGCCTAGCAACAGGCGCTGTCAGAGGTCCTGATCACACTTAGCTAAGGAGAGCCAACCAGCATGCGATGTCTGGGGTTTATAAACTTTTCCCGTTGTTAAATAGACGAGTCTATTGTAAGCCTTCTACCTGACTCCCTGGCGGCTGTGTTCGTTGAGACTGCGCCTTTTCACCCTCCCGAGGGAGACGTTAGGGTTCAGCGATGGCCACGGAAGAACACTGCTTACTGGCCTGTGCCTCATGGCTTAACCTATTGGTTTTCATTTACAACCCAGAACCACCTGCCAGGGGTGGCACCACCCACAGTGAGCTGGGCCACACCCACATCAATATCAATGAAGAAAATGCTCCAGCATAACACTTGGAGTAGTCCCCGTTCAACCAGGGAACGAGCTGATGTTGTCTTCCCAAAGTTCAGAATTATGAAACTGCATGTGCCAGCACAGGTCTTTAATCCAAGTATCCGGGAGGCAGATACAGGCAGATCTGAGTTTGCGCAGTCAGCCTGGTCTACATAGTGAGTTCCAGTAGAGCCAGTGCTATATATAGACAGAGCCTCCCTCCAGAAGTGTGGTATAAGAAACACCAAAGGTCTCACTTAAAAAAAAAAAAAAAAAAAACTATTATGAGCCAACAACACACATGTCTCAGAAATAACCTACCATAAAATCTTTAGGAAGGGTTGGAGGAAGCTCAATGGTAAGAGCACTAGCTGCTCTTCCAGAGGATCCAGGTTTAGTTCCCAACACCCACAGGGTGACTTACAACTATAACTCCAGTTCCAAGGGATCTGATGCCTTCCTCTGATTTTCACAGGACAGGCACCAATGTGGTGAACATACATACATGTGGGCAAAACATTCATACACATAAAATAATAAATAGATTTAAAAATCTTTAGGAAATCACTTGAAGATCAGCTCCAGGGTCTCACTTGTGCTCACTAGTGAAGGGAGTGCTTTATTGCCAAGCTATTCCCAGGGCCCCCAAATACTCTATTTCCTGGGTTATGTGGATAACTATCATTGCCTTTGGTCTTTTCTGTAAGTTTGTTGTGTGCCATTACCTGCCCTTCCCTCAGAGCTGAGGATCTTAAGTTGGACCAATGAACTAAAAATCCCCAACCCTATATATGGATAACTAATTAATCCACTATATTTTCTTCCTATCAGAATTGCCTTCACATAAAACCCATTTCTGTAATGTGTTTTAGGTTGCATTACTGAGGTGGACAAGGATTTATATAACTAGTTTATACAGCACAATACTTAGTAAGTTTCTGCTGTTCAGCTGACAGAAAATATCCACCAATTCTAGACACACAGAAGGGAAGTGTACTCCTGTTACTTGGTGTTGACTGATGACTTTGGACACACTGTATATTGTGAGTCATTTTAAGGCTATAAATAATTCATCCACCAGGCTATCCATTTCATAAAACAAAAATGTATAGAAGCAAGCAACTGAGCTATCCAATGTCACCCTCACCATGTCTCACCTCATAAGGCAGTTCTCCCTTTTACCATCAGTCTTCAACACCACGGTGTCTCTATTATTCGTACTGGGATAAGGACACAGCAGCATTCGGACTCACCTTCTAACAACAGGCAATCAGGCAGAAAGGAAGCTGAATTCTAACCGTAAACACACTTGTCAACAGCATTTCTAAACCTGCTTAAATCCAGGAAGACTTTTATTACACAATTTGACTTTACATCAACAAAATGTTAGGTATAACATTATAGATGAAGGAAGAACAATCTAATTTATATTGAAATAAATATTAGACATATGAAGCACATACACTGAAAAAGGGTCACAAAAATTACAGGTGAAGACTTTGCTCAATCATCAAAGAAAGCCCTTGATACTTCCAATTTCACACCATCAAATTTATCATTCTTGCTGATTTAAGCAGAACACAAAACAAATATGGATCCTAGGGCTTACTTGCACAAACCAGCATGGATAATTTACTACAGTGATCCAATTTGAAATCAGCAGAGACCAGAAAATCGCTGCATAAAAGAAAGAGCGAAGGAGGTCCCTTTTCCTCAGTGTCAGCAGGCTATGATTATTATGTTTATTACATTTTCTTGAAAGGACTTCACATTTTCTCAAATATGCAGGAGAACTATATTTCCCCTCTGAGCCCTACATTAGCATTATGAGCTTTGGTCTTGAATACAGGAGAATGATGAATTTTTCAATTTATTTTATAAATCTACAGTCTGGATAGTATTGGCTTCAAGAGTATATATAACTCCCTAACCTGTACAATATATTAAAAATGTATTCAAGAGAAGTTAGTAAGAAATGCTGACATACTATATATACAATTTTTTAGTTCAATATATCCCATTATATCAAGCACCAGAAGTGATGCATTTATTAAATCAAGCAATTTCCATGACTCTTTCTAATCTTTGCAATCCTTGTATATTTGCTCCAATATATGCACATCATAAGTGTTCCCTGCCCCAGATTTTGCTCTTTTGGTCTCAATTTACAGACATATGCAGACAAAAACTATGTCAAAGGGAAATGTTCTTGAAGTTACAAAAGAATAGTAAAAGCTTGGAATTCAATGTTATGAACAATAGGCTTTTTAAATGTAGCTGTAGAAAGCTAGAAAAGGTGGGAGTCAGAGGCAGGCGGATCCCTGAGTTCGAGGCCAGCCTGGTCTACAGGAGTTCCAGGACAGTCAGGGCTAAACAGAGAAACCCTGTTGGGATTGGGGGTGGGGATGAGGTGGGGGGAGGAAGGAAGGGAGAAGAGGAAGGGAGAAAGAAAGCAACAAGCTAGGAAAGAAAAAAATTGATTCTTGGGCCCTTCTTTCTCCTACAACAGCCAATTGTTTAAGACTCTAGCAAACATAGCTATCAATCATCTTTCCCTACTGTTTTCTAAGAGAGAGAATCCATTTCCAATACAGAGAATACTGCATTTGTCACGCCACTACCAGCTCAAACTCAGTGTGGGTCAGTTACACAGCAGACAACACCGAAAGGGAGACCGGAGACAAGCCTTCCCCCAAGAATGGGTCCATTTTGGATAGGTCACTTAAATGCCAACTCAAATCACAAAAACCTCAGTGATGAATCACAGGACATCTTCTAAACTCCCAGGAGCTCCTTTGACACCCTTGACACCAGCTCCAGTTTGTAGCTAGGACTATAGGAGCCTGTGTGCACCGAAGAACTGTGGAGAAACAACTGCAGACTTTTCAAAGGTATTACATTCTCCAGTACACTGTCTGCCAAGCTCACCAACACACTGCCTGTGTGGAATTCCCCTGGTCCTAGGGAATTTCAGTGGTGCTAAGAAAAACTTGTCTTTATAAACTACACTTGATTTTCAAACTCAGGGAGCGCTCCTGATGGAATACCCAAACTGTTAGGTGCTTTCAAATCACTGGGAAAGTCTCAATCACATAGGTTATGTAGATTCTATCCAGTATACCTACAAATGATGGAAAAAAATTAAAGTTTCACCTCTCTATATAAGAAAGGATGAAAAAAGTAACTATCATTTTTCTACACTTGATAAAGGAAACAATAATCTTACAATTGATATCTCAGGTTACTGAGGCCGAGAATGGTGAGATGAGACAGCAGCACGATGCCACTCCCACTGACAGTGCGCTTCTTCTGAACGCTTTATATTGTAAAGCAGTACTCCCAAGACGGGAGTATAGCTCAGGGGTAGAATAAGGTGTCAGTCCCCAGTCCCATCTCCCAGCATGCACAGTAAGTACTTACCAATTGTCCAATATTGAATTAAAGAGATTACAGGATTAAAATTCTTAGTGTGATGGACAGCTAAGCATTTTCAGTAGCATAGCATTTAACCTAACACAACTGTAAAAATGGGGAGTATCCAAGGAAAGAGTGACACCTACTGATTATAACATTAACTGTGCATGGCTATCTTCTCCCGGGATGGAGTTTTAGAGAACTCAAGTTCTGCTTGTCTTGTTACATACGCATCCACTTTCCTTCCCAGGATATTTGCTAAACTCACAAACCCAATTCAAACTTTTGTCTCTCTCTTTAGATGCACTGGGGCTTTGTGATTCTTATTTAACAGAATCCATTGATTTACCAGAGCTTCTGGTTTGTTATTAAGCTTGTTCAAGGAAATTTAAATACAAATTACTCTTAAGAAATTGCTCTGGGGCTTAATATGAAAATACAGCCAACTTGCCAGGCAGTGGTGGTGCACACCTTTAATCCCAGCACTCAGCAGGCAGAGGCAGGAGGATCTCTGTGAGTTTGAGGCCAGCCTGGTCTACAAGAGCTAGTTCCAGGACAGCCAGGACTACACAAAGAAACCCTGTCTCGAAAACAAAACAGTAAGCAAAAAAAATCCATCCAACTCAGTAAGACATGACGTATACAAAGGAATATAAAATGCTTGCTAGAGAACAGGGTTTGTAGGAAGCTTCCATCTGTCCAATGGGCTTTAAAAGACAGCACTGTTCCAGTTCCCAGAGGACCAGAGATTGAAGATAATAAACCAACTTCCTTTACACTGTTGAGCTCTGCAGTACAGTGTTACATTTCCCCAGCTCATCACTTTATGCAAGATTACATTTCCTATACTTTGACAGGTGTACATGGAAACACTAATTTCAGATTCAAGATCAGCTGATTGTACACATTCACGCACGTGATATTTCTAACTACAGTTTCATGCAAACTAACATCTAGTAACATTCAAATTATAAAATTTGCCTTTTCGCCAGGCGGTGGTGGCGCACGCCTTTAATCCCAGCACTTGGGAGGCAGAGGCAGGCGGATCTCTGTGAGTTCGAGACCAGCCTGGTCAACAAGAGCTAGTTCCAGGACAGGCTCCAAAGCCACAGAGAAACCCTGTCTCGAAAAACCAAAAAATAAAATAAAATAAAATTTGCCTTTTCATAAGTTTGAGAATATTATTTATATTCTACATCTTCAAGGAACTAATCTATATTTCCATTAAAGCATGAGTATATCAGAAATAATGTAATTCTGCAGCATCATTAAAAAGTCTGAATTTAAATCACTAAACAGCTGAAATTACAGTTTTAAGGACAAAGCTCTTTTTAAAGCCAGCATGAATAAGCTCCTCTCAGGAAGTACCATTATTATAAAGACCAAAAACTCACTTATACGCTTTGAAACACAAAAGGCAATCCTGGTACAAACACAGCACACACATACAACAAATAGAAAAATTGTTGGAATCCAAATAAATTTTGTACTTTAGTTAATTCAAGGTTATTATCTTACTTTGCATAAATGTCCTACCAATTAAAAGATGGTAATATAAAAATAGATAAGTAAGGAAATCTCAGCACTATTTTGAACTTCTCAGGAATCTAAAATGTTCCAAGACTGAAAAAAAAGATGGCGGGAAGAAAATTTCAAAATAAATATGCCTTTAGCTGCCAGAACTTGATGTCATTCAAGACAAAATGTTTTAAATCATCATTAGAAATCAGTACGCTTACATAACATTACAGTCACTTCATTGCTCTACCAAGCTGGCGTTTTCAAACCATCAGATTTCATAGATAGTGATAAGGAGGCTAGGCACATACATAAAAAGTCTCCAACTTGGTGGATAACTGTTATAAAAATGTAAAAGTACCTGGTTAAAGCTAAGCTATCAGGTTGTATTTTCTGGAAATCTATCCTAAGACTATCACTTCTCTACAGATTAGGAGCTTAAACAAAAAGAAAACTGATGTTATAAATTACTAATGGATGTATTTGAGAAATCCAAATTACATGCAGATAGAAGAGAACTGGGTACAAAAAAAGACCACAACATTACATTACCTTATACTAAAATTGTGCAGTGTTTTAAGCATTTCCAATCATGCAACAGTAACAAAGATCAAAATAACTTTTATAAGGGAATTTATGGGAACTCAATTAAAAGTCTTGAACATATTATCCAGCCCCAATCATATAGATGCATTATATTGTACATCCAGTCCCCCAAGCTCATGGATGTACTACCAGGCTGGAACACCCACTATCCCTCAACTATTCCCCAGGCCTGTTTAATTACATTACCTATAAACCTTTCCACTCAACCTTTTGATTTGTATTTGCTGGATAAACATGTAATCTACAGAACATTCTTCATTATTTCAAAAAATACAAGTGTAATCACATGCTCAATCTTCAGTCTCATCCTTTCAAAGGCATCAGAACTGCTGCTGCAAATTTCTAGGACATTTCAAGCCTAAGAAACCAAGAAAACTGGAGTCAAGAATCTGAACTAAGTATTTCTACAAACTATAGCAACACTGGTAATCTATCTGTGGACATTTGTAAAAGTTACTTAGTAGGTCTCCGATGCTGTGTGGTCACTACCACCTTCTAGAGTAAATGGTTCTATGACACCATATAGCTAAGCCAAAACAGGCTTACAGTCAAGCCAGATTCAAACACAACCAAAGCCACAGATATACTAATGGAAACGAAAGCATAGCAGGTCAAAAAATAGACACAGAATTTCCCTTGTAATGGTGCAGGCTAAACACATTTGTCCTAGCAAACCATCACAAGATCAGCTGAATGTGAAATCAAACTGCAGGGGGATGGGCGTCTGTTAAAATCCCAACCAAAATCACTGGGAAAAATACTGCCTCAAAACATACTGAATTCATCTATTACCATAATGAGCTCATTCCAAATGTAACTTGGGTTACTGGTTAGGATAAAACAAGTTTCGGAATTCTTTTTAAAAGAAATAAATGTATTTCATGATGTAGGCACAGCAGCATCTAAAACAATTTAGTAACATTTATCATTAAATAAAAAACTTACATAACCACGAACATGTACAGAAAAATTTTCTCAGAAACTATTAAAGGCTTGACTAACATGCCAGGAAATGATTATTTTGCACTGAGATGCACTTATGTAAATCATGTAAATTGAACTGAGGTTGGTGTTAGACCTGTCATTTGAGACCCCTATCCATATTACCAGCTACTAATGCTTATCCTCTATTCCCAGCTTAACTAGACTTAAACTACGCAACTGTTGGAGCCAGTCTGCTAATGAAGGCGATGCTCTGGAGACAAAGTCTTCTCACAAACAGTGGGCAGGAGGGCTTCATTATAATGTGCTCAACAACAATCCTCAGCTCATTGAACAAGTTCCTGTAAGATAAACAGTGTCCTTCAGATACAAAAAGACAATGAATACAAACAATGATGAGAAGTGCTGACAGCAAAGGTGACCAAAAAGAATTCAAAGTAGTAGCTGGGTTCAGTGGTGCACACCTTTAATCCCAGCACTTGGGAGGCAGAAGCAGGCAAATCTCTGCGTTTGGGCCAGCCTGGTCTACATATTAAGTTTCAGAACAGCCAGAGCTACACAATGAGACCCTGCCTTGAAAAACAACGAAAATTTAAATCAAAGATGAACTTTTGTAAAATACACTGTAAGAATATACAAACGGTGAACCCATAGGCACCTATCTAGCCTTCAGGCACTAGTGCAGGAGGTGGGAGACCTAGGGTTTCAAAGCCAGCAAACTAACACAAGAATTCCTATCTCATCACAGACAAAAGCACAGAAGTAACAGAAAAGGCATTTTAAAAAACAATGGCTATACCTAAAAGGGATCATCTGTATTTTTTTTTAAAAAAAAATTTATTTATTTATTATGTATACAATGTTCTGTCTGTGTGTATGCCTGCAGGCCAGAAGAGGGCACCAGACCTCATTACAGATGGTTGTGAGATGTGGTTGCTGAGAATTGAACTCAGGACCTTTGGAAGCGCAGGCAATGCTCTTAACCGCTGAGCCATCTCTCCAGCCCCTATATTTTTTCTTTACTTGTCAGTTTTCACACTTTACCGACAAATTCAATTAACTCCTAAAAAAAATTACATAACATGGGCAACCCACACACCCTTCCTTCCTTCCTTCCTTCCTTCCTTCCTTCCTTCCTTCCTTCCTTTCTTTCTTTCTTTCCTTTTTTTCCCCCCAAAACAGGGTTTCTCTGTGTAGACCAGGTCTCCTTGAACTCACAGAGCTCCACCTGCCTCTTCTTCCCAAGTGCTGAGATTAAAGGCACATGCCACCACACAAGGCCACAATTTCTTTAAACAAATGTTCTCTCAGAGCTTTTCTGGACATTAGGAGTTTCAGAGCTATGAAGTTAATGGAGACAACATAGACTGTATTCAATAACCTGTCACTTTACAACTTGGATACTAATCAAACTAGCCCTTTCAGATTAAAACCTACCCACCAGCTTACACAGTCTGGTCTTGATCTAACATTGCACTCCGTTTCCTACTGCAGCTTCAACAGTGCTGTGTTGCTTCATGGTTTTTTTCCCAGGTTAAGTGGTCTTCTTTGCCTGACCTATACTGCTCACAAAGTACCCTTCATTACATATTATACATGCATAAATACTTACACATCATATACAAAATGATATATAAGGTATTATAAGTCAATTTGATGGCTCCTCATGGGTCAATCTGACTACTCGCCATTTTTAGCTTATGTTCTGACTCACTGTGCCTGAACTTGGGATCTTCCTGAGTGCAGAGAACTGCCCTGGAATCCAGAGAGCTGGGGTTACAGATGCGTACCACCTTACCTGGCTAAGAGCTTTTTAGACCTTGTGTAACAGAAGTATAGAAAGTTATGGTACACATAAGGAGAGACTGCTGTATATTGATTTGTGAATACTTTTAACTATGGTCTTTGTTTCAATTAAGAAAGTCCTTAAGAATGGGACTTAAAGTCTCACTATTTCCTAAGCTTAGAACCTAAAAAGGTGATAAAGATAACTCTAGCTTCAACTTCTAAAAAGAAAGACAAGGTCCTTCCTCCTCCTCGAATGGTTTAACCTCCAGTGTTTTTATATATGCCACTGCAAGTGGCATGCACTCAGCTGCAACACACTTCAGATTTCCGTCTTTCCAAGGCTAGCAACATGCCGTGCACAGCAGACAGCTGCAGCTCCAGTAACAAGAGGTAATCCATGGAGCACTGTGCTGCTGAGCTGTTTGCTGGGGTGGCTGTATTGAGAGCATTTGCACCTAAAGAGTGAATTTATCAGGATGGAAACCTGTCAGTGAAGAATCAGCAACACAACTACATTTCACTAACCCCAGCTAGTTTGAAAGTCAAGAACTTAAATTTCAAAGATAGTTCTTTCTTCTAAGTTCTAAACTATTAGCTAAGAAATTTCCAAGAGTTATAAATACTACATCGGGACACTAAAGTAAACAGAACAGATTTAAGTTAGTCACCAGCTTACCGACAATATGGATTTCTTCTAGAGGAATAGCGAAGAGTCAAAAATCTATAGTATATAAAAGGCTGGAGCAAACTTCCTTGACCACTGAAATAAACAAATACAAGGATAATGAAAATGTATTACTGATTTACACATATATTAAAAATTAGAAACAATTTACAAGGAGAATGTGTGCATCTCCATCAGATGGGTCAGTAACAATTACCTTATCTAGGCACAAATTACTCTTACGAAAGAAACAGAAGGTACAGATCAATGGAAAAGAGCAAAACGCTATTATCTAAGTTCTTATAAATATATCCATATATTAAAAATTTAAATACTAAAACTCAAAAAATACCTCTATAATTAGCAGAGAATGGTTGGTATTTTTAAAAATTGTTCATTATCGGTGTGAGAGTATGTATATGTGTGTGATATTGTATGTTGTATGTGTGTGTAAAGGTCAGAGGGTAAAATCAGATTTCTCCTTCTATTTTTTCCTTGGGTTCCAGGGATCAAAACTCTGATAGCCAGGCTTGCAAGGCAAGTGTCTTTACCTGCCCAATCACCTTGTGGGCTCAATGTTTTGGGTTTCTGAGACAGAGTCTCACTCAATATGTACCCTAGGCCGTCCTAGACCTCCTGAGCCTCCTAGTGCAGCATTCTGAGCTAAGACTACAATTATATAGCACCATGCCCACCTGAAATTAAGTTTGAAAACTTTTTTGGGGGGGAGGAGGGGTTTCGAGACAGGATTTCTCTGTGTAGCCCCGGCTGTCCTGGAACTTGCTCTGTAGACCAGGCTGGCTTTGAACTCAGAGATCCGCCTGCCTCTGCCTCCCAAGTGCTGTGATTAAAATGTGCACCACCACTGCCCAGCAAGTTTTAAATCTTAATAAAAATCCAAGTTAAGAATGGCTTATTTTATATGAACAAAAAAAAATTCAAAGCTATACCAACTAATAAGCTAATAGAGCTTAGAGTAATCAGTGTTCATGACTAAAAACCATAATTCTATTATCTCAAGAGGCATGTATGTGTATGTTTTATAAAACTCCAAGTCCAGACATAGTTCCTACAATCTACCTGGATTATAAAAACAAAACAAGAATAAAGTTAGGGCTCAGTGCTAGGCAGAGCACGTAGCAGACATGCACAAGCTCTGGATGCGAAGGAAGGTGGGAGGATGACCTATGTCTACAGCTGCAAGTTCATGTGGGCACAGTGAGACAGACGGTGAGTAATTATAGCATATTAAGTAACTTAAAAATCTTGGCCAAAAGAAATACACGATGGACAGACATGGTGGAACATATTTGTAATCCCAGAAGTTGAAAGAAGGGAGAAGGTCACCTTTAAACATATAGTGAGTTTTAGGTCATCTTGCCCACCAAGGGACTCTGAGCTAAAAAAAGACAAAGGAAAAAGGGAAGAAAACCCCACAGAGCAACTGTGAAAAAAATCAGAACATGAATCAGAGATGGCTCAGCAGGTAAGCTGCTGGCTGCCCAGCCTGATGAAAGAACCCTAGGCCCCACGTGATGGAAGGAGAGAACTGACTCCCAAAAGTTGTCCTATGACCTCTACCTATGTGCTCACACACATATAAAGAATAAATGCAATAAAAAATATTTTTTAAAGCCAGGCTTAGTGGCTTTAAAGCTTGCCTTTAATCTTAGCACTTGGGAGCCTGAGGCAGGAGGATCTCTGTGAGTTAAGGCCAGCCTGGTCCGCAAAGTGAGTTCCACGACAGCGAGAGCTACATAGTGAGGCCCTAACTTAGAAAAAAATAATAATAATAACAAAATCTTTTTTTTTAAATGAGCTTAGTATTTTTAACCCTTTCTTCTAATTTGTACAATAATTTCATTATAAAATAATTCATGATTACAAACTTATTGCTTAATGTTATATATATTTTGCCCAACAAATAAGAAAAATTAAAAAAAAAAACAAATGTTCACTCTAAATGTCAATACAAACAGATAAAAAAGATTTAATTCTGACTAAAAAAAAAAGAAGCTTCAAATAATTCACGTATTACGGCCACTATGGCACACAGTATATACAATAAACAAACAAAGCCACACCCACACACTATACAGATTTTGGTTTTTCAAGACAGGCTTTCTCTGTATCTTTGAGCCTGGAACTAGCTCTTGTAAACCAGGCTGGCCTAGAACTCAGAGATCTGCCTGCCCCTGCCTCCTGAGTGGCTGAGATTAAAGGTGTGCTCCACCACCGCCCGGCTGGCACATACTATACTTTCTATAGGTGTGAATTTTATTTTTTCTCTCTCTCTTCTTTTTTGGGGAGGGGGATTGTTCCTAAACATAGGGTTTCCCTGTATATCCCTGGCTATCCTGGAATTAGCTCTGTAGACCAGGCTGGCCTCAAATTCAGAGATCTGCCTGCCTCCGCCTCCCAAGTGCTGTGATTAAAGGCAGGCACCATGACCAGCTACGTATTTTCTGAATGGACTACAAACGCACACATACTAAACTGCTTTCTCTGGGACAGAAAACACAGAACCACATAAAATGCTCTTTTAGAAGGGAAGATATCCAACCTGGAGCATGTGAGCCCATCTGAGGCACAACACAGCCAAAAACACAGTCCAACATAAAATAGTAATCCTATTTAAAATATTGTGGAAGTTTTTTTCTTTGCTCAATTACAGATGACAACATAGCCCAGAGACAATAGGTTAGATACCCCTATTAGCTTATCTATAAAATTAAAATTTAAAAAGCATCCAGGTAGATATGTACACGATTAAAATCAAATGCAAAATTCCCAACGGTGAGACCAATACTGCTATGATATTCTACCTCTCAAAAGATGTTTTATTATTTCCAGATTACAAATAAAATCTGGAAACAATTGTAGGCAATTGTTACTGTGACTATACTTTTAAAATGCCTCCTTATACCACCTCAAGAAAGGTAAGAATCAGCTGAATTAGACTTCAAGACTGTGTGAGCTAGTTTATGTAGATGTGACACCACTACAGCAATCTGACAGCAGGGAGCCTCAGTTAAGAAAATGCCTCCAAAGATAACGCTGCAGGCAAGCCTGTAGAACATTGTTTTAATTAGGGATCAATGGGGGCGTTGACTGTGGGTGGGGCTCCCATGGAATGGTGGTCCTGGCTTCTCATACTGAGCAAGCCATAAGGAGCAAGCCAGTAAGCAGCTCCCCTTCAAGGCCTCTGCATTAGCTCCTGCCTCCAGGTTCTGGCCCTGTTAGAGTGTCTGCCCCGAGTTCCTTTGATGATGAACTGTGATGCAGACTCACAAGCCAAATGATCCCTTTCCTCCCCAAGTTGCTTTGATCATGGTGTTTCATCGCAGCAATAGAAATCCTAACCAAGACAAAACACTCTTCTATATGTAGTATTTTTAAAATTAATTTTCAGAAAATAAAAATTAATTTGCCAAGGTTAAATGATATTTCACATATTAAATTTGTGCATAAGACAAATTTCCTGTCCAGAGCCTATTCATGGAAGGCGTGGAAGGAGGAGTCACTGTCCTCAGCTGTAGACTCCCTGGTGAGCCCCGCAGGCTCCAATGGATAGTTCCACACCCTTGGACACACAGATGGCCCTGATTTAGCACAGTGGGTAGCAAAAATAAATAGACAGACAGACACAGACAGACAAAAATACAATACAGGAAAAGGACTTGAAATAAAGAATAGGGTTGAAAAAAATGAAATGAAGCTAAGTGGGTGGGGAGAATAATCACATGATTATATACATGTATTAATTGTCAACAAATAAAATTAATTAATAAAAAAAGACTTCTAAGCCGGGCGGTGGTGGCGCACGCCTTTAATCCCAGCACTCGGGAGGCAGAGGCAGGCGGATCTCTGTGAGTTCGAGATCAGCCTGGTCTACAAGAGCTAGTTCCAGGACAGGTTCCAAAGCCACAAAGAAACCCTGTCTCGAAAAATCCAAAAAAAAAAAAAAAGACTTCTAAGTGTGGGGAGCTTGTAGGGAAGAAGAGAAGGTGAGAGCGCAATGATGGTAAAAATGGTCAGCACTCTACACACATGCATGAAAACATCAAAGGATGACTTTAAAAGCCTGTTAAAGCATCTGGGGTAAAGAGACAAATCCCTGGCCTTCCCATGGTGCAACGCTTCTTCTAAAGCAACTGGGATGCTCTACCTGAGGGTAAATGCTGAACTTGCCCTGACTCAGCAGGATGAAATCTGAGTGACCACCTTTATGTTCACTTGCCATCCACCTTTCAAAACGAGCACATTTGAATTCTTACCTAAAGAGCATAAAAACTGTAGCCGGCATCAAGAATATTTCATTGCAAGCAATGAATTTCAGAATATTTTGTTGGTTAGCACTTAATTTATCCAAGACAGATCTCAGCAGAGGTAAACTATTTGAACCCTTTGCCTAAAACAAAAGGAAACAAGTGTTAGAAGTAACATGGCATCTTTAGCAACTCACTAGTCACCTCAGGACACCTAGAATGACACCACGTTCCCACTCAACCCACACTCATCTTCTGTACTTTAGGCCATCTCTACATTGCGTACCTCCTAGTGCGACACAAGAGCTACGCAACAACTGCTCAGGAAGCCAAGGGAAGCCATTACACACACACTCAGCATGGTGTGCTCACATGGTATGTCAGAGAGACAGTGACAGATGAGGCCTCTGTCAACTCATTAAACTTGAAGTTGCATGGGCTTTTTGCCTTTTTTTTTCTTTTTTTTTTTTTTTTTTTTGACAGGGTTTCTCTGTGTAGCCCAGGCTGTCCTGGAACTCGCTCTATAGACCAGGCTGGCCTCAAACTCACTGAGATCCACCTGCCCCTGCCTCCTGAGTGCTGGGATTAAAGGAATTAAAGGGATTAAATGCAGGTGCCACCACCTCCCTGCACATTACTTGTTTTTAAATGAAGATGCAGATTTCAAACTTCAGGGAGCTGGAAAGAAATTTTAAGAACAATCCTTCATCCTCAGGAGACAGTTTTATGACATTTTAACAATATAAGCTTCAAACTGAAAACTTTCAAATCACTAAAAAGATTCCTACCAAGTTAACGGGAACAGAGGGACTTCCAGTGAGAAAGTCTGAGCCGCTAGTCACACTAACTATCACAACCTAAAGCCAAAGTAACAAACAGCTGTACTTACATCCAGGACCTTCTTAGTGTATGTGGCAGCATGAAGCAAAGAAAACAACAAGACTGGGAAAATACTCACTGGAGAAAGCAGTTAAGGAAAGCCTCCAAGTCACCGAGCACTGTGCACCCGTGCACACAGCTATGCAGTGTGTGCAAAGCGGAGCTGAAGCAACACTTGGGATGAGTTTGGGGAGTGGCTTTCTTTTATAGCCAGACTTTGAATGAAATGAAGTTCTACCACACAAAAAGAAGTAAACTTCCTCACTTTCTGAATCTTACCATCTGCTTGGGATGTCAAAAACATTTTTTAATAAAGCATCATAAGTATCTGCTAAGTGAAGGTGAAATGTACGCCAACCCAAATGACTGAATATAGTTCTCACCCCACTTTTTTTTTTTTAGGATTTATTATGTGTGTACCTGCACGAGTTTATGTTCACCACACACATGCAGGTGCCCCTGGAGGCCAGTGGACTGGATCCTTTGCACCTGGAATTACAGGCAGTTGTGAGTTGCCTAATGTGGGTGCTGGGACCAAATCTGGACCCTCTGCAAGGACAGTAAAAGTTCTAAGAGCCATCTCTCCAGTGCACCAATTTGGTTTTAAATACAAAAAAATCTTGCTTTTAAGACAGTCTACATTGTTGACAAAGGTGTCAAAGAAATGGGTTTAAGTCCCATTTCTTTGAGGAAATATACCTAAATCCTTTTTTTAAAACATTTTGAAGGGATGGCTCAGTGGTTAAGAGCATTGCCTGCTCTTCCAAAGGTCCTGAGTTCAATTCCCAGCAACCACATGGTGGCTCACAACCATCTGTAATAAGGTCTGGTGCCCTCTTCTGGCCTGCAGACATACACACAGACAGAATATTGTATACATAATAAATAAATAAATATTAAAAAAAAATAAAAAAATAAAACATTTTGAATTTGTAAAAATTCATACTGAATTTATAAGAGTTTCAGTTTACATAAAACTATCAGTTTAATTACAAATATAAAAAAATTGTACTAAATCCAATGGTTTTTAAATTTTATATTAAGTCCAATATTTACCTACCTTACACTGTAGGTAAACACACAATTTTCATTCAATTTTTCTTTTTTGTTTTTCAAGACAGAGTTTCTCTGTGTAGCCCTGGCAGTCCTGGAACTCACTCTATAGACCAGCCTGGTCTCAAACTCACAAAAATCTGCTTGCCTGTCTCTCAAGTGTTGGGATTAAAGGCATGAGCCATCATCACCTGGCTCAACTTTTCAGAAGAAAAAATAAGAACGATCCACTCCAATTTTTGTCAGATTAATAATAAGAAACTTGTCAAGTATCTCCATAAAGGACAAACTATCAATAATGAATGACATAAAAAGTAGCTTTCAAATGTCATCGCTAATACCATCAGCACGAGAAATGAATTACTCTACTTTCCTGTACTAGGTAGCAGTATGGCATGGGTGGAAACTGCTGAATGCTAACAACCTAAGTATCAAATTCACTGCAACACTAACTCACTCATTCCAACCAGTGAGCAGCTGGGTCCAAACATTACAAGAATCTAAACACAAGTGTGTCTTATTCTGCAGCCTAGGCCGGCCTTAAACGCTTGTTCCTCCTTGCCTCAGCTTCCCAGAAGCTGGGATCACAGGTATACACACGTCTGGCTCCTATTTAAGACCTTTTACCAAAACAGATTCCTTTAAAACTTGAAACTTAAAAACTTCTCATTTTTAAGGCCTATGTGCAACTCTGATAAAGCTTAAAAAAAAATTTCCTCTCAAACTCTGACACCCCAGACTTGAAGTCTAATCAATAACAGAGGCAGTCAACAGGAGTAAAGGTATTTGGATTCCAGTTCTGGTTTTCACAAACCTCATTCTCCTAGGCCAAATTTCATCCTCTGACAAATGAACACAAAGAGACCAAGGAGTCTTGTAGTGAGTATTTATCTCCTAATTGTCCACAGTTCACGAATTTTAGCTTTTGCTATCACTTCACCCCCCCACCCCAACTTTTGGAGATAGGGTCTCATGGAAACCTCGGCTAGCCTTGACTTCATACCCTCACTTTCCAAGTGAAAGAATTACAGGCATGTGATTACTTGCCTGGTTCAATGTCACTTTTAAATTATTTAGAAAAGATAAGGAGTGAAGAAAAGTCTACCATTTTATTCTCAAGTGCCAGTCACTGAAAGAGCAAGGACAATATGCCACATTAAGAACAAAGGAATCCCTGCACTCGGGAGGCAGATTTCTGTAGTCTGAAGCCAGCTTGGTCAACAAAGGGCAGTTCCAGGACAGTCAGGGTTGCTACACAGAGAAACCTTGTTTCAAAAAACAACACAAATAGCAAAGGCCCAAATACACTTGCAGTATTACTTTGGGCCACCTTTATACATACCATAATCCCTGATTTCTTTAGGAATTAGATCAGCATCTACTAGTTTATGTTCTTGCCACTGCTCACTATTTCTCTTCCCCCGACGCCTAAGAATGAACCTGCTGAACCACCCTGCTAGCCTGGTTTTGCTCTTTGAGACAAGTCTCACTATGTAACCTTGGCTAGCCTGAAACTAGCTATAAACCAGGCTGGCTTTAAACCTCCTGTGCCTCCCAGTGCTATGATTACGGGCTCACTACACCTGGCTTATGCCTTAATTTCTAGTTTATGTATAGCAAATTATTGTCACAGATTAATCTTTTTTTGTTCCTAGATCACAAAGACTCTTTTTTTTAGTAACAAGTAAGTCGGGCTGGAGAGATGGCTGTGAGTGAAGAGCACTGGCTGCTTTTACAAAGGACCTAAATCATCTCCATCTCCCATCACCTGCACAGGGCTCACTAGTGCTACAACTTCAGTTGTGGGAGCTTCAACAGCCTCCTCTAGTCTCCACAGGTATCAAGAACACATGGTATAGCAGGCAAAACACTCATACATGTAAATAATGTGCATATTTTTGAAAAATTACATAATCATAAAGATTTAATACTGAATTCATGTGCTTTGAATGTTAATTGTTAAATATCTGCTAGACTTACAAGGCAAGAATATTGAGAGGTGAAGTTTAAATTCCCAAGACAGCTCTTACAGAGTTTAGATTTCAAATTTTGGGGACAGAAATTTTATATTAATATATCTCCACAAAAATGACAGACTAAAAGCCAAATAAACATGCTTCATTACTGTATCCTTCCAACAGAAAAACAATCACGATATCTCCTACATGCTTAGTATGGTAATTTCACGGCCATGACATGAAAAGGATACTTGTAACAGGGTAGGAGTTGACGAAAATGAGTGAATACAGCAGGTAGTGACAGCTGTCCTCTAACAAGGCCTGAGCCAGGAAGGCTCTGCTTAACTGGAAGTGTGGTAATCTCTGATGCAGTCTCAGAGCACTGGTGAGAGCATTCGCCAGCAAAGCACGCTGGTAAAAGCTTGCTGCCTCATGCAACCTGCAAATTAGCAGAGGAAAAGTTATCATGAGACATAACAGCTACCACGGCTCTTCCTCCTCTGTGAATTGCATCATAATTGCACAACACCTAAATCATTTAATTGTCAATAGAAAACAAATGACACAAATGTATTCCACATTCTGGGGAGCATCACTGCAAACACATATCTAACTTCATAATAAAAAGCATTCGCTCTTTGTCAAGTGAAAAAAGTTAACAACTGCAAGAACCATGACTGTCAACGAATGAGCGGTCACACAAATCACAATGAAACATCCCCCAATTGTATTACCACACCACTGTAAATTTTAAATGGGGTTTGTGTTAGTCTTATGCCATTCACATTTTAACAAAGGCTATAAAAAGCATTTCTTAAATGCTGACTGAACTTTCTGAGTCAGAAATATAATACATACCCGAGAAGAGGCAGAACAAACAGAGCGGAGCAATAAACCGTGAACAAGCGAGAAAGCCACATGGCCGTATCCAGTTTATTGGTCATCATGAATTGCTAGATTTAAGAAGAAAAATATTATGGTAAACTAAATCCAAATTATGTTAAGGACAAATTATGCACTTTTACTCCTATGAAGGATATTTTAACGACCACCTTGCAACGTTTGTTTTTTACATTATTAAGTGGAAACTCATGTTACCTAACTGCTTCTTCACATACATGCTGTGGAAGGCATAAGAAGCACTTTCAGAAAAATATCAGGACAGTAATTCAACTTTCTGTGTTATTTCAACATTTATAATAATGGCTCCATCAATTTTAAAACATTAAATAAGAACTAATGACTCTCAAGAGACTATAATGTCTATTCTTAGAAAAATCTCAAACCCAAATAGTCAGGCCACAGAACTGAGTAAGACATCAAATATTAGGTTTGAAAGAAATAAGCCATTAAAAAGAGAAAGGTAAGATCACTGCAGCAATTACTGATGAAGTCATTAGTCTGTAGACTATCTGGCATGTTTATGCCAAAAGGCCTCGCACACCCAAGGCACTCAAAACATTCCTGTCAAGTATGAGATGCATCTGCTTCTCAGACCATAAGACTCTGCATTCCCTACAGGCCACCACAGAAGCTTTACTTGTTATCAGTTATCCCAGATTAAGTTTATCATGAAAGCAAGAATTTAAAATCTGCACCATCAAGATGAAGGTGATGGCAGTGCACACCTTTAATCCCAGCACTCGGGAGGCAGAGACAGGCAGATCTCCGTGAGTTTGAGGCCAGTCTGATTTACTAGAGCTAGTTCCAGGACAGGCTCCAAAGCTACACAGAGAAACCTTGTCTCAAAAAACCAAATAACAACAACAACAACAATAAATCTGCTTTATCACTAACATGTACCTCACATCCATTTCTTTTTTTTAATATTTATTTATTTATTATGTATACAATATTCTGTCTGTGTGTATGTCTGCAGTCCAGAAGAGGGCACCAGATCTCATTACAGATGGTTGTGAGCCACCATGTGGTTGCTGGGAATTGAACTCAGAACCTTTGGAAGAGCAGACAATGCTCTTAACCGCTGAGCCATCTCTCCAGCCCCTCACATCCATTTCTAAAGAGCCTTTTATATTTTTAACTACAATGCTCAAAAATAGAATTACTACCAAGATGCAAACATATGTGGGTATATAAACACAAGTCTCACGATACGTATCCTCATTACATGTGATAAACTTTTGCTTCCAGCTGGTGCTTCCAATAAACTGATTTTAAAACACATTCATGCATCTATTTGTTTTTAAATATTACTTTTAAGCAACTTCATTCTATTTTTTGCATGCACAAAAGTTTTTAAAGAAAAATGCAAGTATATTTAAAATTCAGGGGCATTTTATTACATGCCTTTTAATTACATGATAGCAACATCAAGAATATAAAATGTGTGGTTAACAGGGCAGTGGTGACACTCGCCTTTAATCCCAGCACTCAGGAGAAGAGAGGAGGATCTCTGTGAGTTCAAGGCCAACCTGGTACACAGAGCAAGTCCCAAGACTAGCTCCATAGCTACTGAGAAACCCTGTCTCAAAAATGAATGAATGAATGAATGAATGAAGGAATGTGGTTGGCTTATTCTACTGGGAGCTAGCTATTATACTGTGATGTCCCTAAAGGTACCCAATTATAGCACCGGTCAAATGCAAGGATGAATCTACCTTACTATGTTGTTTAGAGTATTCTCTCTAAAATCCATTTGATGGGTCACCAAGATGGCCCCGCAGGAAGAGCCACACGCTGAGAACTGAACTAGGGTTTTCTGCAAAAGCTGCAGTCACTTTTAAACCCTGAGCCCATCTTTCCAGTCCCTCATCTGGGTCTTTTTTATGGAGGTACATTCTATTACATAATACAGGAGCCTAAAAGGCATATGTTAGTTCAAGTTTTGAAGTGTGAACTGCCTAATATATACAGTCCCCATGCCCCCCCCCCAAAAAAACTATTTTAATGGCTCTTTGGATTGAACACAAATTGAGGGCACAAAGTCTCAAAACATTAGACAGATAACTTTTGAATTATAAAGGGGGAAACTGTATTTTTACAACTGAGAATCAGTTGATGATATCACCTTAAACATCACACCTGAATTCCCCCAAAGACAGAATCAACATAAAATGGCTCTTGAATCTTGAGAAGGGCACAATCAGGCCTGAAACTGCAGTTTCTGGATCATTCCGTGTAGCACGAAGTCTAACCGATCTTAATAAAAACTCGGAGTCAGATATTAGTGGGGTGAGAGCTGAAGGATCAGAGAAGCACAGCAGCCAACTACTAAAAAGAGTTTTTACCTCTACCAATGTTCAGACCTAAGGGTGATCCTGTCTCTACGAAACCTCAGACTGAATAATGTCTCTACGAAACCTCAGACTGTCCGTGTCTCTACCAAATCTCAGACTGCACTGACATTTGAAACTATCTGTCTTCAAAACCCAAAGAGGGAGAACAAAGGAACTTTCATTGATTAAGAGTAAAGAGATAAGACGAATAAATGCAATGCTGAATCCCAAGGAGGGAAGTGCCAATGGACAATGGAGGAAAACTGAATTACATATTAGGTTAACATCCACCAATGTTAAACTTCCCAAACGGAGTGAAGCGGAGACTAACCCTCAGCCTTCGTGAGTTAGCAAGAATTTCAAATAGATCAGCCAAGTAACAAAATGTCCAGGGTGGAGCTATAGAACAACATTTTTAATTATAAAGTTTACAGAAGAGTGGTATTCCTCTTAAGTAAACAACAAATTGAAGAAAACACACCGCTGTGCCCTTTTCGGGATTTCTTAAAAAGCTTAAAGTAGGTACAAAGGGCAATACTACGGGCACCATGAGGCGTGTGGGTGGAAGCCTCTGCCTCAGATGGCATCTTTAACCTTGGGACCGAAGACAATCGGAGACAGAGGTGTGGGAAGGCGCAGGGAGGCCCAAGATCCCAGCAGTCAGGTGACGGCCACCTGCTCCAAGCCTGCCTGCAGTCGCTTTTGAAACAAACTTCGAGCTCCCTCTCCACCCGCACTCCCTAACCCCAGTCCCGCAGGCAGCAGCTTCTAGAAAGCTCCAGCCCTCTCAACACTTCCGGCTCCCCGCCAACTCTTGGCATCATGAAGCCGGGAGACCAGGCCGATCCCTTACCACAGCACCCGCCCCTTGGGGGCCGTTCGGGGTCGTATCCGCCATGGGAAACACGCAGGAGCCCGGGACGCTGGGACAGCAGAGAAAAGAAGAGCAAAACGTCAGTGTTGGGCGACGGACCCTCCGACCGGCTTCCAGAGCCCGCCGGAACCCCAAACCCCAAACGGAACGGGGTCTACCGGCCCCGTGCAGCACACGGCCCCAGAACCCTCACGGCGGCCGGGTATTACCTGCCCCACTCGGTCCAGATCAAAACTGTCTTTCCAGAAAGACCCAAGCAAAGGCGGAGCTTCCGAATAAGGCCCTGAAGGGCCGATTTACGCCGCGGGCACCCACGGGTTGCAAAACCGGAAGTGGCCCTTTCGTTTCCGTGTAAATGAGGTGGGGACGTTAAAAGTCACCGGGAGTTGGTTCCAGAGGCATGACGGGAAATGCAGTTTTTCTTCTTGTTTTGGGTCCACCTGTTCTGCGGGCCAGTTGGCTCAGAGATCTAAGAAGTGAAAAGGGTGAAGCAATTTTCGTCTTATCCAGGAGGCAGACGATTGGGCTTCGAAACCTTAAAAATCTGTCTACTTCCGTATACAGAAGCTTCCAAAATATCTATGACCTCTCCAGACAGTGATTCACTGACCCCTGTGATTTAACTTCTTTCAAACTCTTGTGAAACCGGCTATGTGATAGGCATTACTCTTGGTATGGAGAATATGAACATACATTGACCTCCTGAGAGACAGCAGAGTAAATGAAGTAAATGAACTTGTGTAAAATATGGGCATAAACTGAGTTAATCGCGGGGCGGGGTTTCTGAAAAAGATAATTCTGACCCTTAATCTTGAAGGGAAAGGAAAAGGGGAGGCCTTTTCCTAAGACCAATGTCCACATACAGATTCCCAGAATCTACAGCATAGATTCCCTATCCTTCCAGCTCAGCTACCATGTTCCCTTTTCTTCGTTGCTCATGTATCCTTTGTCCTACACTTTAACATTGTCAAATTTTTAATTATTTGTTTAACCTGCCTTTCCCGCCCTGTGTCTATGTGTGTATGTGTGTGTGCGTGTGTGCACGTGTGTGTGTACACGTGTGTGTGTGTACACTTGCACTCACGTGTGTTCTGGTTCACTCGGTGTTAAATATAACAGACTGAGTAAAAAAAAATGACTTCTTTTTCCTTACAGTTCTGAATGCCAGAAAATCCTAAATCATTTTATCAGCAAGGTAGGTTTCATCCAAAGACTTAGTTTTGCTGACTGAATCAGTGATCCTATTAATTCTAGTAGCTGAATTTGATTTCCCTCTGCTTCTTCTGTAGTCTCACTCAAGTGACATGGTTGAGCTTTGTGTCATCTCAATTTAAAACACAGAAGACCCTCGTGATATTGTCAGGTCAATAATAGCTTGATACTATATCATAATGCCTATGGCATCCACCTCATTTCATCTCTTGACATAGGCTTTGCACACACACACACACACACACACACACACACACACACACACACACACCTCTATCTCTCCAAGGTCTCACTCTGTAGCCCTGGCTAGTCTGGAACGCACAACGATCCACCTGCCTTTGCTTCCCAAGTATGGGATTAGAGGCAATGGTCACCACACCCTGCCTGGCTTTCTGTCATGCGTGTGGCACATGGGACATAGGCACAGTACATGAAGATAGTTTGAGAGAACACATACATATAACTTAGGAAGTATATTGTTGCCAATGTTCTATTTTATTCCCAATATTTTACTGTTGCTGCTTTATGAATAAAACTTAATCACAGTACAGGGGAAGAAATGCAATATATATAGGATTAAACAGTACTGAAATTGCAGTTCTAGGCCTCCCCTAAGCACGTTGGAATATGTTATCCATGGGTGAGGAGGAACCGCCGCAACAAAAAGTATTTCAATAACAGAAATTAAACTAAACCAACACATGAGAAATCAAAGGCTCAGTAATAAGCAGCTGTGAGAGAAAATGGAGACAGATGACCCCTTCTTGAGCCACAACCAGATTCAAGAGTCCAAATAACATCAAAGAAGCTTGTTTTCCTTTGCTTCCCCCTAAATTGATTTTACTGCCAAACTGATTTCTCGCACAGGTTAGCCCATGTTGCACCAGCTCACACAAAGTTTGCTTGCCCAGTGCTTTTGTATGACCATCCGGGCTTCATTTTCATGGAACCAAATGTGTTTTTACAAAATTGCTAAGCTAGCCATTTGTCCTAAAATATAGGCAACAAAGTTTGCATCATTCACCCGCCAAAGGGGAATGAGTGGAATTATTCTCACCCAAAATTCAAGAGTGTTGCTATGAGAAAAGGTATGGGTGCCAGAGAAGGCAAAACTATACATTTTTTTTTAATTTTTAGCTTACGCTTTTTTATAATTCATTTTTCAATGTCCACCAATTACTTACTACTAAAGCCTCCCCATAGGCTCAGAATCAGTTCCTAAGGGTTACCCAGATTGCATTAGTTGAAAGTAAGAAAATCTTGGCGTAACACATGCCACAAACTGAAGCAGTTGTTTCACAACAGGCCGCTACTCATTTCGCCTAGAAACTGACTAAGGGAGCAAGGGGTCCATTCCTCAATTGCTGGTGAGAATACGAACTTTTACAACCATTCTGGAAATCAGTGTGGCAGCTTCTCAGAAAACTGGACCCAGAGATACCACTCTTTGGCATAGACCCAAAAGATGTTCAACCATACTACAATGACATATGCTCAGCTATGTTCATAGCAGCATTATTTGTAATAGCCAGAACCTGGAAACAACCTAGAGGCCCCTCAACCAAAGAACTGAAAATTCTTAAACGGGGGAATTCATAGAATGGTTGAACATCTTTTGGGTATATGCCAAAGAGTGGTATTTCTGGGTCCAGTTTTCTGAGAAGCTGCCATACTGATTTCCAGAATGGTTGTAAAAGTTCGTATTCTCACCAGCAATTGAGAAATGGACCCCTTACTCCACATCCTTTCCAGCATAAGCTATCACTGGTGTTTTTGATCTGAGCTATTCTGACTGGTGCAAGATTAGGTATCTCAAAGTTGTTTTGATTTGCATTTCCCTGCAAAGGATATTGAGGCTATAGTTCATGATTCTACAGAAGCTGAGTAACAAGGTGAACCCTAAGAAAAACATACATAGATCCACCTGGAAAGAGGAAATAGACAAGATTGCCTGACAAAATTGGGAGCATGGGGTGGGGGGAGTAGGGAGGGCAGAAGGGGAAGACAAGGGGACAAGAGGAGGAGGGAGGAGAACTTGAGGGAATGGGATAGTTGAGATGGAAGAAGGAGAAAGATGAGAGCAAGATAAGAGATATTTTGATTGAGGGAGCCATTAAGGGGATAGCAAGAAACCTAGCACTAGGGAAATTCCCAGGAATCCACAAGATGACCCCAGCTAAGACCCTAAGCAATAGAGGAGAGGGTGCCTTTCCCTGTAGTCAGACTGATGAATATCGTGGTTTTTTTTTTTTTTTTTTTTTTTAGTTTTTTGAGACAGGGTTTCTCTGCTGATGAATATCTTAACTATCACTAAAGAACCTTCATCCAGTAACTGATGGAAACAGAGTTAAAGTCCACTTGAAGAGTAGAAGGAGTGAGAATATGAGCGAAAAGGTCAAGACCATAACGGGAACACCACTGAAACAGTTTATCTGAGCTAATGGGAGCTCATCACCTCCAGCTGGACAGGGAAGGAAACAGCAGAGGCCCAAACTATTCCCTCTGAATGTGGGTGACAGTTGTATGGCTGGGGCAGACTGAGGGGCCACTGGCAGAGGCACCAGGATTTGTTCTTACTGCATGTATTAGTTTTTGGGAACCTATTCTCTTTATCTGGATACCTTGTTCTGCCTAGATATAGTAGGGAGGGCCTTCAATAGGAGGCTGAGGCTCTTGGGGTTGTATGAGCCTCCTCATCTGGGCTTTGTCTGGTGTTATATCTAAACTCTAAGTTGCAGGTAACTAAGTCTTTTTCTATTGTGTTAGTTTTCTGTCTCTGCTGTTTAAATGTGCCACAAGACTGGTGGCTAAGAACAGTTATCTATGACTTAGGTAATGCTGGGGATCAGGAATCCTACACTAGGCTTGCTGGGCTGAGGTCAAGACTTCTGCAGGGCTCCGTCTCTTTCTGGATACCCCAGGGGAGAATTCACTCCCTTACCTTTTCCAGCTAGTCTTGAACCCTGAGATCTGCTTGCCTCTGCCTCCCAGGTTCGGGGATTAAAGGCATGTGTCACAAACCAGCTGAATATTACTTTATTCCCCATAAATTTCCAGCCTTCGACACTTTATTTCAATCAGCTTTAGCAGCTTTCCTAATTTCCTCACTAGTTAGTGAGCTACCTAAAATCTCTGCCCTAGGTGTATACACACACACACACACACACACACACACACACACACATGATATATTCTAATACTTCTAAAATCATCTCCAACTCTTCCACCTTTGCATAAAATTTAACCTATGTAGAGGATGGCCTGGCAGGAAATGGGCTGTAAGAGATGATGGATGAACGTCAGAGATTGGGTTACTACTACCTAACCCTCGACTTTATGCACAATCAATTTAAGAAGATTGAAAACAAAATAAAAATAAACAAGCAGATGAAAAAACAAAACAAAACAAAACTCCTACCCATTGTTTTATCTGGAACGCAGAAAAGTCCTTTCTATTTAAAAAGAAAACTGACAGGTGGCTCTCACCCTACTTCCAGTCACTGACACACAACAGGACTGAATACAAATTAAGCCTATGGCTGAACAGTGGAAAACACTGTTTCTCTCGCCAAGGCCATCAGAGAGTTTTTCATCTGATGAGCAGCAGTTACCCTGCTCTGTCCTCTTTCACCTCAAACAACCCTGGCACAATAACTGGCTCTGAATTTTACCCTAGCTACAGAAATGCGGCCTCCTAAAACATAAAATTTCCCAGTAAACATGTAGCCAGCAGGATCTAGGGGACAACGAATTTAACACTTCCATATTACTAACCCCAAACCCTTTTATCATTTTATCATGGTGGACCAGTTAGCAATGCTATAGACCAAGATAATGCAATAAACGAGCTAAAAAGGAATAGCTAGACAGGTTTGAGGGTACAAGTCTTGAATACCCATCACTCAGGAGGTGGAGAAAGAGGATCAGGAGTTCGAGTCTAACCTCAGCTATGTGTTGGTCTGTCTCAACAGACAAAAGCAAAATAATGTGGCCCTACCTCACCAGATTAGTCCATAGCCTGTGTTACCACCAAGGTCCATACGGATGCCCATGGTCTGGGCCGACACACCTGAGGCCATGTTGGTGTCTGAAGGTCACACTGTTCCAGGGCCATGATGATCTTGGCCTGTACTGGAGCCATCATGATG